CAGCAAGTGTTTACAATATTTCTGTTTAAATTCTGTCATCTTTATTAATTCCCCCTTATCTTAGATCAGCCTTGTTATTATATTAAGCCCTGTATGTGTGAGCCCTCTGTTAAGATTAGGGTTTGGGGTAAATTTGGCACATCTTTTTTTCCTCTCCCAGGATGGGATGATGTGTAAACTGTGTACAGCAAACTGTTGAAACAGAGGATGGATAGTTTTCACACCATAGCCTGACAAGGAACAAGGCAGTAATTATAATCAAAGGTAGAGAATACCCAGCTGAGGTCCAGATGTGCTCGAAAACTGAGCAAGCCTGGGGTGCAAGTGGCCTAACTTGAGAAAATGTTGGACTAAGGGGTTTGTTTTAGTCAAGTTTACTTAAGCAACAAAGAATATTACACCGCTTTGTGCTGAAACTTTTCAGTGGGTGGACAGCCAATTGAAATCTTGTAATCTGTCACAGTCAAACCGAAGTGAAGCAGAAGATTCTTCCAAATAATTTTATATGGTATCATTTTTAGTCTTTTTTAATTTCATACAGTGCACTAGAAAAAACTACGATTTTTTTGTGCCAGATGAATGAGCAGGGTTTTTTTTATTGCCACAGAAATTTCAGATGGAGACTCAAATCTTTCAATGCCCACAGCAGAGATGGCTACACGTAAGCCGTTATCTGCTTTAATTTATGAAGTGAAAATAGATGCACTGGCCAGTGGATAACACTGATTGATGATCTTCTTACTGCATAGGGACTTTCAGCATGAGAGCAACACATTTCATTTCAGTGAGGCAAATGTTTTCTTTTTAAGCAAGCAAACGCTTTTTTCTAAATATGTTTTTTCCAAGCTGAATTTTAAATGAAAATTTTCCCAAGCAATGCTGAGCAGCTTCCATTTAGCTATTTCTCTTATTTTTAAAAATGAGCATCGTAGGGGCCTAATTGTTTGATTAAATGCAATAAATGCATACTGACTGGTGCTTGAAACTACCCTGTAGCCTGACTGTAAACATCTGCCTTTGTTTGGGCTTTGCACTGCAGTCATTAGTGCAACAGTATTATTAGAATGTATTTGCATGTTAAAGAGGTGGGTTAGAGTCACAGTCCAAGGGAAATTATATCTTGAAATTGCCTTAAGAAGCCGGGCTTTGTTTTCTCCCTGAAACAAACCATTCAGCTGCTGTTGCGGGCGGTTGGAGCCCATTGGGGTGGATGTTCAATCCATTATTCATTTTTTTTAGCAGAGCTGGGTTATAGTGGGAAGGGAAAGTAATTCTTTACCATCCAGAGAAAAAGCAAGTAAATAAGTGAGAATTGCCCTGACTAAAAGACAGGGAGGAACTAAAGAAGGTAACATAACACTTCATGGAGCAAACACCCAGCACAAATCAAAGGATCACTATGGCAACAAATGGAAACCAATGGGAAAAAGGATAAATAATTTTTCATCTGGTGAATTTTACCCTTTTAACCAGTGGAATATCCATAAACAAAAGGCAGCTTCCTTAAGCAGTCTCCTCCTGTTTATTCAGAAACAAGAAGACATTCTGGAAAAGAAAAATGTTACTCTTCAACTGATCAAATATAATTTGATGCAATATTTGATACCTGATGCTCTAAAATGGAGCTGTATCTCCTAGCTCTGATTGCTCCTTCAGAGGGTATCAGTTCTGCCTGTACCTGAGTAAGTATATGTCACCAAAGGAAAAAGCATTTCAGATTTGGCTTTTAAAGACTTACACTTTTATTTCTGTGTAGAAAAATGCCACAAAATCTCTGACACTCCCAGGTTATGGAAAAAGATTCACTGAAGTTAATTCACTTGAAAGAAAAAATTGTCATCAGAGAATAAAAGCAGATAGGCTAGAGAAGGTGAGAGCATGTCTTACAAAGCAAGTCTTCCACAAGGTCTAATAATAGAGTAAGAAGAGCTCACATTGAAGAATAATTTCTCCTAGTCCATTCTTAATCTGTTTATCCATTTTCCTTACTTCCCATGCCCATAAGAAATATAAAACTTCTCTATCACTCTAAGTTAATACCTGGATTAAGTGTGGACGAATTAGATACAGTGATGTGCAAGTTAGGTAAGTCACTTTACCACCTGCTTTGAATCAAAACTTCTGTGTGGATCCACTTAGGACATACGAGGAGAGTTTTGTTCTGTATTTTGAATGTTCTATTTTTAGCTGGTTTTGGAGTGTCTGTGCTCCTTCTGTGCAATATTCATAATTCCATGTGAGAGCTTTTCAGCTGGATGGCTTTTGCAGCAGCTCCTAACTGTGTGCTGAAAATTTGCATATTCTTTTCTCTTGCCCTGATTTAAGATTTTGTTTTCCCAGAAAGGAAAAAGTGAATGTTTTATGCATTGTGACTTTTCTTTCTTTTGAAAAAAACAAAACAAAACAAAACCAACCAACAAAACCACATAGAAAGCTGTATCTCTTAGTGTCCACTATTCCTCCATTGCAAAGTCGTGAGAAGAAGAAAGACAAACTGGTG